CCCACCCCCTTATTGCCTCCTGCCTCACACCGGCATCAGCTCTTATCTGCAGGAGGAATTTCTTCAGCCGTTACTCCGGGGGAGCTCCTGAGGACACAAAGCTTTCCTGACTTTCCCATGTCCTCCCAGCAGCCCCACTTGTGGGCCAGCATCCAGCCACCATCCCACCCCTGAGGGGCAGAGCCCCACCAGGCACCACAGCCCCTGCAAGCTCCAGGGGAGGAGGAGGAGGAGGAGGGAGAGTGCGCCCATGGCAGCTCCACACTGGAGGAGGTGGTTGAGCCCCAGCACTCCCTGTCCAGTGGCACAAGCAGCAAGCACAGGGGGGCTGCAGGGTGGGGACACAGAAGGGAAGCGGACAGACAGCTGCAGAGAGGTGACAGTCACTGGCTCAGCCACATGCCGCCCCTGCCACCTTTACACCCTGAACACAGGCAGTGCCGGGACTGAGCCCTGTTATCTGCCGAGAGCAAGGCAGCGCCGTCGCCGCCAGCCCAGCCCCAGCAGCAAGGCAGCCATGGAAACTGGACGTTTTCCACTCCAAATTCTTTCCTTTTTATTGGTAAACTCCTTCCAAAAGGCACTTACTGCAGAATCACAGTCCAGACCTAGGCCACTTGAAAAAGAGCTAATTTCCTTCCTATTTAAGCAAAAAGCTGAGAACACATTCGCCCCAGATGTTCCCTCTCTCCTGCAAATAATGAAGGGGAGAAGCTCATTCACAGGCTCCAGCTTCACCGCGTCCTTGCTCCTGTCCCTACACAGCCTGTCCCCAGGGGCGGGTGAGACCCAGGCTGGGACACTGACCCAGGCCAAGGCACTGTGGGGTCACTCATCCCCAGGGCTGATGACTCCCCCACCAGCCCCCAGCAGACACTCAAGGGGCACATAAGGGGAGAGAGCAGCACAGCCCTTCAAGGGCAAATGAGGCCAAGAGGCAGCTCACCCACTGCTTCAGGACACAGTGGGGGGGTCCCCAGAGCCAACAGCCACATACAGGAGTTTTTTTCCTGATGGGAAGCAAGCCATGATTGCAGGGGGAAGCTCTGCACCCAGCAGCCCCAGACACCGCCCGGCTCTGCCCTCACCTTCCTGCTGCCATGCGAGGAGAAGCTGTGCGAGTGTCGCTGGAGGCTGCCCCCACTCAGATCCAGCTGCGGCTTCCAGACCTCCCCGTTGTCGCTGCCCACTGACTTGGTGGGGGAGACGCCAGAGTTCAGCAGGATCCCGCTGTGCACCATCTCCTCGGTGCACGTCAGGCGCAGGCTGCACAGGTACTCATCCGTCTCCTTGTCGACCACCAGCAACCGGGTCTCTGTCTCCACAGCTTTGATGCGCTGCACCACCTGGAAAGGAGAAGAACTACTGAGCAGAAACCCAGGGACTTCCCAGCTGCAGCAGGAGCTGGACCCAAGGACCATCAACTCCCCACCTCTCTCCTGCAGCTTCAGTCTTGCTGCAAGTTTGCTGTCACTTCCAGCCATCGGTGATGGGGGAGAAGGGCAAAGCCTGGCTTTAGGGGATGCCTGGGATGGAGTGCCCACTGCCTTCAGCCCCAGGTTATGATGGTGATAGCTCTTTCCACCCCATGCCCTGCAACCCCCATGACAGCTCTGCCCAGGGCAGCTGCACAGACCACCCTGAATCACCTGCTCTGCTCAGACAGGAGCTTTCACAGAGTCTGCTTCATTGCCCGCAAGGATCAGAAACCCTGCTGCCTGGTTTTGTCCCTTAGAGCGACATCATCTGTCCCACCAAACAAACAGTCCCACACACCCTCATTTCCTCAGTCTGGGATATCTTTCTTCCCCCACATTCAGGGCAGGGTGGAGAGTCAGGATGCACAGGGAGGCACCGAGCACTCATGCGTGCATTTGGTGGGCTGCCCTTGCTAAGTGCTCCCCGCTGCACCCATATATCAGCTACCCCCCCATCCTGGGTGAATTTATGACAGAAACCACCTAATCGGTGTATTCATCCCTGCCCGTGCCAGGGGCCAGCAGAGATAAGGGAAACCAGTGCTGGGAGCGGGAGATGGGCCCGTCCCTGCCGGGATCCAGCTCCAGGCAGCACTGAATGGGGACCATTGTCCTGCCACTGCCCAGCTCCTTCACAGGGATCAGTGACTGGCAGCAGCTCTGAAAGGAGCTCACCACATCGGGGAGAGGAGCAGACTGCAACCAGGCAGAGGGGTAAATCACACCAGGGCAGATCCAGAACATGCACAGGAGCAGGGCAGAGGGAAACTGCTGCCAGATCCCAGCCAGCAGCCACAGAGGGCTGGCTCTGCTGGGCCACCCCCTCCCTGCACAGCCTTCATTCCAAGGAGGAGGCAATGCTATCCAGCTATGAGGTGGCCCCGAAGACCACAGACCTGACCCCCCCAGGTGTGCTGGGAAACCCCCAAAGCAGCTCTGGGCTTCCTTACAGGGCTCCTGCTCTGATCTAGGTCACACCAGCCAGACACACTGCAACCACCAAGGTTATAAGTGACAAACGAGCCTAATGTGCAATTAGCTAGCATTTATTTACACCCCTGCAAGCTCCCTTCAAGGTCAACATAGCCAGTATCTGCAAACAAAAAATAAAACAAACCAACAACCAACAAGAAATTTATAGACTGCCGACAAGGCTGCTTGTCCTGAACCAACTAATCTGCTGCAGTCTCCATCTCCACACGCCACATCAGGCGGCAGTGTGACCAGGGATCCCATCCGTAACCAGCCCGAAAGGTGCTGTTCCATCAAGCCCCAGAAAATCCATCTGCTCCCTTTCAGATCTATTTACATGCGACATCAGACAGTGCTGCCGATACCGGCAAGGCTGTGCCTGCGCGAGGCCACTTGTCCCAGAGGGAGTGCAGCGGTGGCTGGAGATGCAGACAGGCAATGCCTGTGGGGAAAACGCAAGAGAAATGTGCTGGGTCCTGCCCAGTGACATCCCCTGAGCCCGCAGTTTGGGTGGTTCAGGAGTTAGGGCACCAGGGTTAATCCCTAGCAGGGAGCAGGGTCCCAGAGCCACAACCAAACGCAGAGGGACTGCGGAGAGCGATGCTGTGGCTCAGCCACTGCTGAGCTCCCCAACAGCCCTGGGAAGAGCAGCCACAGAACAAGAGTCCCCCCCTACCCCTGCGAGCTGAGCCAGGCAGGGATGGAGAGCAGGCACAGAGCAGCCCCTCACCCTCTCCCTGTTAGCAGGGATGAGCAAGAGGGGCTTTCTGTGACAAATTCCCCAGGCAGCAGGTCACTGGGGATGGAGCAGTAAGGTCGAAGGCAAAGCAGCATCCCGGCACATGGCAAGGTCCTGCCCAGCACCAGCAGAGCCCGGCACCCTACCCGTTTCCGAGCCATGGTCACAGCCTCGAGTCCGCAGCTTTTCTGAAGATGACACAGCCTCCCTTGAGCATCTGGTGCCTCAGGACCTTCTCAGCACTGGTCCCAGCCCCATGATTTCCGCAGCTCCACCCAAACAGACTTTCACCCCTGGCTACACCAGTCCCAGCCAGCCCAGGCCCTTCCACCCTTGTCAAACACCAGCTGCCCAGGAAAGAGGCTCACAGTGCTGGTGGGAATGGCCCACTTCATCCCTCTCACTCCCAAAGCAATGCCTCTGCCTGCCCACCAGGCTGACAACCTCGGAGAGGACCTGGGGGCTTTCCTCAATCTGGGCACAGGCCACTGCTCTGCCCCACACACCCCCTGCCCTGCCCAGGCGAGGAACCAGGATGCAGTTTTGCATCCAAGAGATGAAACGCCCTGAAAACACATTCTGCCTTCGCTCCTTGGGTAAGGCCAGGAAAAAACAAAGACACAAATGCCGCCAGCTCCAGCTCGAAACAGAGTTACACCCAAACAGCAAGGCCTTGTTTGCTGCGGGCTCTGTCCCACCGCAGCTTCAGATGCACATGGATAAATGTTACTTATTCAAGGTTGAGGACCTCGGGAGTGCAAGGAGGAGAGGCCTCAGTGAACCAGAAGCTCTAAATCGGCAAGAGACAGTGTCTGACCCACCACCACATTGCCCTTCCTACAGTCCAACAGGGCTGGGTATTTTGGGGGGTGTGGGGGGGAAGAGGTTCCTGCTGTATCAAGGCAGAAGGAAGGGTGATCCCAGAGCATGTCCTGGGGCAGGGCTGCTCCCTCTCACACACACTAACACCATCACAGCACAGCAGTGAGCCCGCAACACCATCCCACAGTGGGGAGCAAGTGTCAGGGCTGAATCCTGCCTCCACCAGCAGAAAATGGAAGACAGGAAAATTTCTCCCCTTTCACTTGATCTACTGGAAACACCCCACACGTTTGAAAGACACAGCTGCTGTCTCAGCTCTGCTACTGCCCATCCCTAGCATCCCGGTTTCAGCAGGGAGCTCTGATGGCTTCCAATACAACACAGCTCCTTACAGACCACAACCCTCCTCTCTGCCCAGCCAGATCAAAGATGTGGATCCTCCTTCAAGGGTTTTGAAATCACATTCAAGGCAAGCCATTAACTTTCACACAGCTGGCTCTGATCATCAAAACAGGCTCAATTAGCCATGAAAACCCACTGAGCCCAGGGAGAGGAGTCCCCAAGGCTTTACTGGAGCCACCTGGAAGGCTCTGCCTCACCTTCAGCACAGCAACATCCACACCAGCGGGGTGAAGCCCTGGAGCCCACAACCCCCCGAAACTCCTCTGGGTCCACAAGCTACACAAGGCACACCCCTGCTCTGCCCCGGTAAAGCGCCAGCAGTGGGGCCGGACATATGTTTTAAGTTACTAAAGCATCAAACCCTGCAGAGCCCTGCAGGCCATCAGGCAAAGGGACACAATCGACCCAGGTCTGCTGGGGGGACAGAAGCAGCCTGAATCTCATTGCTTGGTTTTTGGACTAAGCTGTTTAACAAATACAAGTTTCTGGTTTATAAGCAGAAAATGACACAGCCTGAAGGGTGCAGCTCCTGTTACAGCACTGAGAAACAGCTCGCTTGGATATCCCCCCCCCACAGCCCTGGTCTAGTAACAGCCATTATTTCCCCACAAGCCCTATCTCACTTAAGCCAGTCAAACTGCTGAACATCTGCAGAGCTTTATCAGTAGATTTTAAGGCATCCTTTACACACTCTGAGCTGCACAAGCAGGAGCAGCTCGCCCGAAGTGGCCAAGAAAACCCACAGCAGAGCCGGAAATAAAGCCTGGATCTCCCCATTCCTTTCCACCACAGATTGCATAACGCAGCGGGGCCCTGCCCATACCGAAACACCTTCGCCTTTCCCACCTTTACACCATTACACAGCCTTTCCCCCGCAGCGAGACAACCCTGCTCACAGGAACGCCCCGTCCCAGGCACACAAAGCCCCCCCTGCAGCCCAGGCCTAGGATTTGGGGGGGGGG